GAGGCACTCAACTGTTCACTTCACTGGGATAGTGAATGCTTCTGCGGTCATCGAGGCTTTAATAGGCAGCAGACTTAGACCTCTGCAATGAGGCCGGCGCAGTCTGACGAGAGCACACCGCACGACTTTCTGACAAACAAATCAATATGTAACAGGACGGACTGATCTCTCATCTCATTGGCATATTCCAGGAGTAAATCAGAGAAGGATTATGTTTTTCCAAACATGCCTCAGTCAAGAACGAATAGTGGATTAAATGCACTGCATTTTGTCCACTGCTTCTTACTTCAGAGAAGAAATCCTTATTAGGACTAGTAAGACCTGAGGTAATAAGCGCTGTGCAATAATATATTGTTCCCATGCATTATTTAATGGGACTGTGGGATAGTGTTTGCGTGCATTTCTAGCTCTGTATGAGAGCATATAGCTCGCTTAATTGGCGAGAGAGAGTGAGCCAGGAGAAAATGCTGTTCTGGCAGAAGATATTGATCAATATGACCAGATGCAGCTACTCAAAGCCTGATCTAAATCTGGGATAAACAGTCTCAGGCTCGAAGCCACAGCTGAAGACGTCACTGAATGTTTGCTACTGTGCCAGGCACAGCCGTAGTTTCTTATTAGCACGAATATACCACGTCGCTTCATCTAAATGACCACATAAACGATGTGACAGACATAGTCAGGAGCAACAGTTAAAGGCTGCCACTGTGGCAAGATGACTGCACAACAGTGGTTCGTGAAGGAGACAGCCGGCACTAATATTTGCTTTTATCCGATGGGGAGACTGGCTGGTACCGTGCAGCGGATCTCAGGGGCTTGAAATGTGATGCTCCTCTGCAGTTTAAATGGCAAACGCTATGCAGGTGACTTGTGTTTGTCAATTGAATATTTGCGGCTGCTGAATCGGTTTGAATATGTTTTGATTATAATGACTGCTTTCCGCTGGGCTCTACTGGGTATCATACTACAGCATTATTGAAGGAATTACCATTTACACAATCTGTATCCCTCTCTTCAGAGAGCTAGTCTCTGAAAATAACTGTCCACTGCTTCCGCCTACGGTACCCCAAGACCCCATTGAACATTCTGGTCACACCTTTTTTTCTCCATTTTACATGTGACACGCAGGTCAGACTTTAATCACCGGTGCTCCTTGTGCGCACACCTGTATTATTCATTGTCAGAGACATACAACCGATACCCACGTTTAACAGGCATACTCCGTGCACACTTTCATGCTCTGTGACAATAAATGGCAGGTTTCCTTATTCACATGTGCCACTAGAAGCCTCCAAGATTAAAGGAGCCCTGCAGCAGTCCTTATTTCCAAGGGTGACCAAGTCAGAATAGCGATGTCCTCAAGGCATACAAACCAACTTTTATGAGTTTTCTGCTTTTTTGTCATCTAAGTGAATAGTCTGAACATTTGCACACGTGAAAACGCGTTTGCCAGTACGATTGATTGACTGGAATGTGTTTGCAGTGAGTGTAGTTCCATTTTCAACACTGCTAGACCAATGTGAAACAGCATACTGACCCAGCATGTAGTTGACGAGAGGAAAGGTTCACCGTGGACCGGTCACAAGTCTAACACAGGCTGATAGGGTCACATTCACCTTCTAAAGGGTAAAATAACCTTTCCAATCCACCACTGTGGGTTTATTTGATTTTTCTCTCTCACACTGACAGTCTGAACTAATCAATGCATTTAAACCCAGAACACTCTTGCAGTGAGGTGACATGCTGGCCCACATACTACACAAAAGGTTTTTGAGAAGAAACAATCTTCGATCAGAGCAATTGTTCAATACTGGTATCAAATAAGCACATTTGTGATCAATAGTGTTTATGATTTTCAAATTATCACTGCAGTGGCCTCTCGGATTAATAGTTTAGTGCTAAACTACAATTTGCTCTCTGAATGCAGCGAAGCTGAAAAGCGGTATGTGTTTTAATGCCTCTCGAGGCCTGAATTTACCTGTGTTTCCTCCAGTTTTCAGCGCTCAGCTTGCACCATTGATTTTGTCATTTTTTTAACTTTAAAAAATAAATTCCAAGGCTAGCTTTAGTTTAATTGCTTCAGTGCTTTGGTGGCTATCCTTTGATATTTTAGGGTACTTATAATTACACCATTTCTTCAACGTTTTTGTCATGCTTTTGATGCTTCTTCCATTAAATAACTTGGGTTGCCTTGGGAGAAACATCCATCTCATTCTGTCAACTGATAGCATTCTAATTGCTACTTATTTTCTCCTTTCTTTACTGCTTTTCTGCATGCAGAGTCCAGAATTCAAAACATTAATGAGAGGATAAGACTTTTTTTATTCAAAAATATCACTTCTTTTAAGTCTATCGCTGTGTGCGCAACGATGTCCTTTGATCATTTGTTGGTTATTTCTAGACAATCTATTCCGTGGATGGAAAGGCAGCCATTCGACTTAAACATGTCAATGAAAATTACCTTACAAAAGAAGGCCAACAAGCCTTGTCAGGTTTCAAAAAATAGCTTTCAGTTACGTTGGCATCAGACTGTTATCTCTGCACATGCAAACCAGCCCTCATAACTGTCAGGTACTGTGATACTGTATATCTAGCAATGGTAGTGGCTTTGAAGAGCTTGGAAAAATAGAAATCCCTCGAAATATGCAGAATTTGAAAATACCAGATTGTAAGGACGACTTAGTGTGAATTGCTATATGAATGTGCCTGGAACAGAGAACCACAACAGTTTTACACAATCTGTTATGAAGTCCTTTATGCTCCCCGAAACAGGTCAATAGCCTGCGCTTGCTGTTATTCTCCACGTCCTGCAGTGGCTGATAACCCTGTACTGTTCCCGATTTGATAACGTAAACACATGACACCGGCACTATGAGCAGCTGCTGCAACACTTTGCAACAGAATGGCAATGCAGAGAGACCCCATTAATCTCCCCCCACGGTCCGTATACAGCAACCTAGAAAGCAGAAACCCATGTAAACATGGCACTGCCACTTTCTCTGTGCATTACCTGCTGAGATCTGAATTTGTTTTCGGCAGTTGTGTCCCGCCTGCGCTAGGATTGCTGAACATGGCAGCGTTTGGCAATAATGAACGATAATGATAATGACCATCCTGCCTGATTTCATTAAGCAAACACATGACAGCAAGTGCTCTGAGCTTCCGCCGTTACACGCCGCAACACACTGACAAGCCGAAGACGTGAGCATCGCCACACACACACACACGCACAGCTAATAAAAAAAAGCGAGCACTGCTAATTTATATTGCAAATCCAATAAGAACCTTTTTTCGGAGGTTTTGAAGTCCCTTATCTTAAAACCTATAACCAAACATTATTTCAATTTTCACAATTCACTCATCCAGTCCAAAAAAAATCCTTTAGCACTTCACAATGACAGTGAGTCAATTAAATTCATAGACGCCATATTTGCTGTACACGGAATATAAGAGGCATTTGTTACCATATGGAATAACACCAATGCCTCATGGTTACTTTCATTTTTCATTGCAGTTGACAGCAGTGAGGAGGTGGTGCTCTGCCATGCAGGAACATACATGCGTTGCTAATGCTCACTATGGCAAGAGGAAGGTGTACAGTAGTAATGCAGCCGGTAGCCAGTGTTTTCCAATAGCAATGCCAGCTGCAGTAACGCTCACTGATGCAGCAACATGGCCGGGCCAATGCCTATATCGTCCCCTGGGGACGACTTGGGAAGGTATAGTATGCAGAGAGAGCCCAATGAGGGATGGTCACTTGACTTTAGTAGAAGCACAATGACATCCAACCCCTCTTCAATCTTGTGGATTTAACGCCGCCACAGTCATCACGGACCCTCACTTCTCCTATTGTTGCCGGGGTCCTCCGAGCGACAAACAGATATTTCACTGACCTCTCCAGCCCTACCTGTCAAAATTAGAATAATCAGAGTGTGGCAAACTTTCTACAAATGCTGAGTTAAATCGAAGGAGGCTTAACTTATATTGTCACAGAAAAATGATGAGACGGGCAAAAAACGGCACAAACATAATTGCCTACTATACAAACGTAATTGCCAGCATTCACTCACAGCTCCCGTGAGATTATTATTGTGCTACATCAGGGCTTTGTGAACTCTTTTATCATCTCTAAACCTGCTGTGCTGATTGTCAAAAACAAAAGCGCTGTTCAACCCTGTAACCGAAACACACACACACACACACACACACACACACACACACACACACACACACACACACACACACACATATAAATACACACACACGCAGTGCACTCATCCTGCTGAGGCCGCTACTCATCATGAAATAAAATAATCATCTAAATGATCATCCCTCTATATTTGAACTCAACTCAAAAGGGACATTAACAAGTTTCCCCTCATCTTCCAAGCTCCGTGGCGCCACGGTCCACTCGCTCAGCAATCAGTGCCATTTCCCTGATGGGGAGGATTTCAGTGCTGCTGATCATTTATGAAAAGTCTTCGCCTCTGCGTTGTGCTGATGCAGACACGCCCGGGCCATTTCCACATGCATCCCCGTCTCTGGGAATTCAAGTCATGTGTCACCGTTCAACCGCCTTCAGACCACATCGGCTACAGTGTGACAGGGCTGTTTTGGGGCCCGTCTGTAACTGTAGAACAGCACTACCATTTAATCAGGATACCAGCTGCGGCATGCAAGGACTGACTGCCCGAAGTAGCCTGAATGTGTCTCAGCCAGATGGATGTTGTGTTATATGGGAGACTAGTGAGGATGCATTTAAAGGAGAGCAAGTGTTTGCACATTATGCAAGCAAGAGCGAAATAGGTATGATGCTGATCAGATAGATAGATAGATAGATAGATAGATAGATAGATAGATAGATAGATAGATAGATAGATAGATAGATGCAGTTGGTGGCACAATCGATGCGGCACACCACAGATTTGGACACAGTTCATCCACACATGTGTGTAGAAAGTCCACCGCACATTTCTCACCAAGTCTACTAAGTGACTTACCAAAAGTGGCACTAATAAGGCGGACGCCGAAGGGTTGATCCTATCGCACATGATTGCCGACGTCCAAACACTTGTCAAACTGGATACGTTCACCAGGACTCTCGGATGGTAGCGCAGAGTTCTATTATTCCAAAATGCACGCGTAAAAAAAAGAGGGGGGGAAGAGCCTCTCTTCTGGGCTGGTGCTGATGAATCCAGCGGGCGCAATGAGTGACAATGTGCATCTGAAGTGTCATCAACCAGGGACAGTGGGGTATCTTCCAGTTACCTGCGTCGCGATGAAACCCCACCTTAAATCCCAGAATGATCCGATTGAGACGTAATGGCAGAAGCTGTAAACCAGGAACCCTCCGCAACAAACAAGCAAAAAAAAGCTCAGGAGTCTTGCGTCCGGATCGTGCCCCCCCGCCAAAAAAAGGGTTAAAGCGTCAGTATGTGGCTGTCTTCTCGCACGCAGGTTTAACGCAATAAGGCGCACCGCTTGTTAGGAATTGCAGCACAGATGTCTGGACAGAAAGCTGCAGTCTCGGGCTCGTTTTGAGGGCGATGGTTTGCGCTCTCGACTAAAAAAAAAGGAAATAAAGCCTCTGGCGGTTGAGGCTCGGATTCAAAATTCCGTCTTTAATTGTCAAGAGATTGCAAAGGTCGGAAACTCTCGTAATCGCAGCAGCAGAGCGCGGTTATCACGCCTGTTTCACCGGCAGCTGTTTGCCATTACTGGAGCCAATTGTTGTCATAACTTCTCCCGTCTGAAGCGCAATGAAAGGAATCCCACCCATCCACTGATAAACACTGGGGGAGGGGGGGGGGGGTCTTCTTCTCCTCCGTCTTCCTTCTCCTCTAATAGGCCTACAATGCGTACCCATGCGAGCAATTAGTTTTCATACATGGCTTGGTACGCGCGCGCTCCCTCTACAGAGCGATGCGGTCGATTTGTTGCAGGAGATCTCCAGCCGTGTCCTGGAGAACGGGATGCGCGCCTCTACTCCTCGTGCATAATCAGCCCCACCTGCGTGATAAAAGCCCCACTATAAATGAATACGCGTTGTCACGCCACGGTGCCTTCGAGCAGCGCAGAACCAAGTGGCCGGTGCACAGAATCTCGTGGTGTCAGAGGAAGCGACTGACACCTTTCATGGGCAGCGCGGCACTGCAGCAACGTGATGTCATTTGGGCTGCATGTATGCACGCGACGAACGGAGGGTTTTCTTTTTTCTTTCTGCCTTTGTCCGTGGTGAAGATGAGAAGACAAGGTTTTCTTACCTCCCCCCCTTCACATTACAGTGGAGCGATGGGGTGTTTGCGAGGTCCAGCACAACGAGATGCTGCAACGGTGGGGAGGGAAGGAGGGAAGGGTGGAGGAGGGGATTGGAGGACAGGGGATAGAGGTTGGGTGTTAGGTCATTGGTGCACTTAAAAATAATATCCCCCCCTCCCCATACGCTTTCATTTTATTATCCTCCTCAATCTTAAACGCCCGTCATGATAAGCAGGAGCACAAATATACCCGAGCGCCCACGTGTCTCAGACAGGACCCCCTGCTTTACTTTGCTCCGGGACAAACACTCCTCTTGGCCCACGTCAATGGAAATGGGATATCCAGCAAGGAGACAAATCTACACGAATACACTCCCACCCTAAAGAAAACAAACTATATGTAATCCTCGCAGAGATTCCGGAGAAAGCCTTGACACCCCATCCTTCATTGTAATGTGCACATCCGCAAAATGCCACTAAGAAGAGGATAACGTGGGGCTTTTTTGTTTTTAGAGCATATTCATCCCCAAGTGCATAGTTTGCCAGCGTGGAAGCCACATGACAAACGATGGGAAAAGTGAATTCTATTGGACTTAACAAATCCTGTCAAATCCAACTGATGTGACTGCAGGAACGACACACACCGATACTTGTGGTTAATATTAGAGGCCTGCAGATCCGGGGAGGAAAGTTCGAATCAAGTTTAAAGTACCGTTGATTTACTATATCTGCTTAAAGCTGAATTAATTTTCTATAAAATAGTACCTTATCATTCAAGAAAAAATGTAAGATAATAAAAAATATTGCTCTTAACACGTCCCGAAAGTGAGACATGAATAATAACGTTAGTGCTCACAAAGTACCACAGTTGCTTAATGTCCTGTAAAGGAAAATTATAGCTCAATTTTTATTCATTTATTTTTCACAATGAACCCTGTTAAGCTGTAAATTTGGCATCACCATCATTTACCTGCAATATGGAGTGCAATTACAGGGAAGGTTCACGATGGTTGCGGGACCTCAGGGCATTTCAAACAGGTGAGATGTGACACAAACTCCCTTTGGGAGTCTTGCAGAAGCCCTTTTTCTTGGGCAAACCATACTTTATACACGTGAGGCCACTCACCACTGAAATCAGACAAATTCTACTTGCAAATGCCTTTTTCGTGTTTGGTGTGTTTTGAACAGATGCCGATCCTCCAAAATGTCATCGTGCCGAATATCTTGCTGTAGAGTTGATGTTTCATTATGCCATTCGCTCTGAGCTCCGTCTGAATGAGCATGTGTGTTCATGAGGTGGGCGAGCGCATAGGACGCATGCAAAGAATACTGATAGAGAAAGAGCCATGAAGGAAGCCAATCTGCTGTTTATATCAGGCTGCACTCCATGGGGGCAAAGCGCACTCTCGCAGTAATGCCCTGTAAAAGTGATTGATTAGCGTGATATTGAGAGATTGTCCGTCTTAACCGTCTTCACTCGCCAAAGTGATGAAATTACTGTGCACGAGTCTTTGAAAGCATAATAGCAGATTAGGTCATTGTAATACAGCCTCTCTAATAAGGAAACTTGCCATTTGGTAAAGTGCAAAACATAAGAGGAGCATCTGCACTCACATCCAGTGCACAACACCCAGCCACTAATATCCTCAGAGGGTGTGTTTAATGACCTGAAACACATTAGGTTGCTTGATTTAGGATCAGGTGCAGCCAACTTATGTATGTGTCCTTCTCAAAATGTCATTTTTGACACAGCACAGTTGCTACTGTCGCAGTTTTAACAAATTGCTCAGATTCAATTTTATTAACGGTGGTAAAATCCCCAGTTTCTTCTCCCCGACTGAGCCCAAAGCACCTAAAATGTGTTGCTCAGTTCAATGCGTCGTCTCGCTCGTGTGTACTTTGAATTGGGACCAGTGTAGAATTAGTGCAGCGACAGAGACAATGGAAATAAGGCCTTCAGCAACAGCAACTACATTACAGTGTGTGTGGTGCACTATGGATGATCAGAGCAGTCTTGTTTGTACTGTTGAATCACCCTGTGCATTAGCACTCTCTCTCCAACGGTGCAAAAGTTCCTCCTAATGTTCTATGAACTCTCCAGCTTACCATTAAATGCGGAAGCACCGACGATATGATTTCCACTATAAGGGTCCAATTGACTTCCCAGTGTGGGCTTTTTTTTTCTTTCTTCATAGTGAACTAACAGGCATGTGCATAGGGGGCTGCATGCGTCAAAAGGGCTCATGCATCAATGGGGTTCATCATGTGGAGCTCTCTGTCTTTGTTCTCTGCTGAATCAAAAGAAAACGATGCAAAACTAGGCTGGTGTTAGCAAATGAAATGTAAAAAGCACGTCGCAAACTCTGTTTTTGAAGGTGCTATTTGTTATCATTATTATAAATAATAAGTAGCAAACCAGCAGGAATCAACTGCATGTCGGCTTAACAAGAACAGTGGGTCTCTTTCATGGTACCTTTGGTCATACAAATGTTATGCATCATTTCACTCATAGTCACACGTCCAAGATTCATATACGCCATCTCAGACATTGCTTGTTTCACGCTCAATAAAAAACATGCTTCTAAGCTTTAACGGTTTTTCAGTGTCCCCGTGTATGAGCCCATAGACACTGGGAAGGGTGAGGTATCGCTCCCTCACAAACCATCCCCTTGAGTTTGACTTTGATTGAATCCCGCTGCTCGGTAGGGTGAAAAGACAAAAATATGAAAGTAAAGATCAACAGCAGCAAAAACTTTCATTAGTGTTGTTAGGGAACATGTATTCTCAGGGGCATCTAAAATAGCCACTTAAATGCCAGGATTTTAAAACATAGCAAATGATAATGCAGAGTTTAATTAAGGATGCACCAACATATTAAAACAGCCAGAGGATGTTTGAAATTCAAATCCCACTTTCATATATCTCGGGTAAAGAAGAAATTATCAAAAAAGGTCTCTCTCTTTCCTTATTTAATGCAATTGAAATGACCTCCTTCTGTACCAAGAGACACCTTCTCAATACTAATAAAAAAAAAACTGGGCTTTTCAAAGTGGCTTTCTACACAATTTTTGACACCCTCTCTCTTAATGGATCTTCTGCTCTGAGTAATTCACTTTTTCAAAGAGCACTCTGTTTCACTTTCCGAGGAGGCATGAAATCATCCATCACATTTGTTGTTTAAAGTTAATGAATCTCCAAATGCCTTCAATCTTGGAAAGGTTGTCTGTATTTCTTGTATATGGTCAATTAAGGCTGTAGACATTTTAGGTTTCATTAAATGTCTTTGCTGTTGGCTACAAATTATCAAGAAAACCTTTATTAAAGGCTGAGAGTGCTCGTTGTTCTAACCTGATATATTTAAAATACTGTGCATTGCAGGTATTGACTATTGACAGCAAACAAGAAACTAGGGAATTGAAAACATAGACTAAAACATATGTTATCTATAATGTGTTTCTTTTTTTTCTACATTTCTACATTGCAACCTGTAAATTGTGTGCGTATATATAGCTGAGTGAGTTTCAGGAATAACCAATAGATGAATCACAGCATGCAGTCGTTGATCTTGTTTGGCAAAAAACTTTTGCTTTCCAAAAAACATTTGAGGAAAATATCTGACTTTGGGTGATAAATGATAAACGGCTTGACAAGGTAGCTACTCAGTTTGTTTTAAGATAGCTGCAGAAAAATAAAATGTTTGTCCATGAAAGCGTTTGAGTCTGAACACGGCTGCCTGTCGTGTTAATGAGGGCTTAAAGCCTATTAAAGCAACACTATGAGCTAAAAATCACTGAAATTCTCGTGGAGCTGAGGGAGACTGCGGAGTCGAGTGTTTCTCCCCCCTGGGTTTGTCACAACAATTGATTGGTATGCTTTGAAATATTTTGACTCGAGGTATGACATGGTAATCCTTCGTTAAAAACAAATGGCTTTCTCAAATAGGATTCTTTGAACTCTTGATGGATCAGACGGGCATCCAGAGAGTTGGGCATGTACAGTATATCTAACTGCACTTCTGAGGAAGGTTTTAGGCCCTAACGTCTATATATATATATATATTGCGCCCTAACTCTGTGTGCATGCTGTGGCTGATTTCAACATGATCTCTACCACTGCCCCGGATTGGAATAGCTGTCTTGCCAAGAGCAATTTCAAAAACCCTTATTTCTTGGAGTCTATGCATTCAAACAGATTTCGTTCAAGTGCAGGACATTACTTCTTTTATTAAATCTATTTTGACATTATGCACTAATTTGTGTTTTTGTTTTCAGGTAAGAAGACAAAAAAATAAGAATTGAGAGAGAGAGAGAAAAAAAAATCTCAGCAGCAGATTTTTCAAGGTGTCATGGCAACAGAGTTTTCAAAGGATTTTTGATGAGAACAGTAGGCAGAAAGAGGTTGATTACAAGAGTGACAATTTGTTACTCCAATTGGAAGAGCAACAGTCTGATTGCACACACATACACACACACGGCTTATTCATCTGGATCACTGTGCAAGAACAGCGTAATCTTCCCGACCCTTCTGTAAGGGGGATGAGTAAGAGCGGTCGTATGTATCCTGGTGTGGAGATAATGGGGCTCAGGCTAGCGTGCTGTTGCAACATGGCTAGTTTATCAGCTTATGCATTGCCATAGTGATGTTATGTGGATATTGCTTTGATTGGCAGTACAGCAGGATGGGAACCAGACACGCAGTAGGCAAAGACTTCTTTTTTTCTTTTTCTGAGACGCTCAATTTTAAATCACACAGAAAGAAGTGGCAATCAACTCAGCGCTGCAGCTGTCTATCTTGGGTGGCCATTCGAAATTCCCAATCTCACTCTCCAGTGCTCGGCAAACACGCCACCGTCCTGACAAACAAAATCACTCCCAGCACAGATTCACGGCGCATCCGTTGTTGGGTAAAGAGCTGAAAAGAAGGCTGCAGCTAAGTTGAACACCTTTTGCACTGAATATGTAACTCTCAGCACTACATTTGAAGGTGATAATTGTTCTAAAAAAATCCCTGTCAACGGGAATCGAGACTGGAAAAGAGAATAT